TTAAACTGTATTTTCTTGTAGTTTGTATCTTGGCAAAATGAAGGGCTAAGGATCCTTAATACATTTATAAATTCTAGTTAAAGATTTTATTTTTAATCAAATGCGTGTTTGTGTGTGCGTATGTGAGTGTATGTGTTTAGATACCTGCAGAAGCTGTAAGTATTAGATCCCCTAGAACTGGGGCTCCAGGACGTTGTGAGCCATTTGAGGTAGGTGCTGGTAATTGAACTTAGGTAATTACTGCAAAAGTCATACGAGCTCTTAATCACCGTCTCTCCAGCCTTCATTTATAATTTAAAGTTATTTCTGTATCTCCCATTTTACATTACTCATCAAAATATTAAAGCTAAAACCTGGAGGACCTTGGAATATTGATTCAAAATCTTTTCAAATTATGGTCCCAATTCCTATCTTCAAAGTAGGTCTTGGGCCAAGAAAGCCTATCTCACACTTTCAGAGGGACAGCAGAGGGTTAGGATGGAGGGGAGACTCTGCGATGCAGGATGGTACTGGCTCTTCACAGGACGCAGTGGTAACTCATTGCTGGGACCAGGTATCACTTTTCTCTGTGTCTCTCCAGGTTTTGGTGCTACCTGTAGCTAGCACATGGTTACTACTGAAGAAGATACAGGAAGGAATTATGAAGTGCTTGCTTTTACACACTGTTTCATATTTCTAAGGGTAAAGCCAGTGGAAGCCTGCATTCTGGTTAAGCAAGCTGTATGGCCTCTGGCCTGAAGAGAGCTATTTCAGAGCCTTATTTAGTAGCTAGTTGTGTTGGCAATCTTGTGGCTTCAGTTACCGCCCTGGCTTTTTCAGGAATCCTAGAGAAAAGTGGCCCATGGCAAAATTCCCTACCCTCCTGTCTTTACTGTGCCCTTGACTCCCACCCAAACCAAAGGATTACTGGAGCCAATCATCCAAAGGCTCATGAGGATAAGAATGGATACAGAAGAGCAAGATGAATGATAGTGGTTACATGTGACTCTCTCTGCAGGACTGCTATTAAATAGGACTAGGCTTTGGAATCAGAAATAAAGGAGGAGGCACCCCAGGGCTGATGGGACGCGTGGTACCACAGCTCCTTATCTGAACGCTCTGTGCTTTGACTCCATTTGGGTGCAATGGGGAGGAAGACTGGGGGACAGGCATCATCATAACATGCTGTCATTCCCAGTGCTTCCAAAAAGCTGTCCAAAGCTCCAAAAACAAACTGTCCTCTATACAACTTTGGTTGAAATCAGTTGTTAAAATTCCATGTGGATTCAGGTCATCGGACTTGCATGGTAAATGCTTTTACCCACTGAGCCATCTCCCTGACTGAGATCAGTTTGAACACTCCTTTTTTTTTTTTTTTTTTTTTAGATTTATTATTTATACAACATTATGCCTGCACACGAGATCTCACTATAGATGGTTGTGAGCCACCATGTGGTTGCTGGGAATTGAACTCAGGATCTTTGGAAGAACAGCGAGTGTTCTTAACTTCTGAGCCACCTCTCCAGCCCTGAACACTCCTTTTATTTAATGGCCATCCTCATTTGTCATGACTATAAGAAATAATCACTCATCTTTCAAACAAGAATGGTTAAGTATGTGTGTCTAAATAAATTCCTATATTTGTGGCTTTCCTACTGAGACGGATTTGGGGGAACCACCCCCTCCTGGGGCTCAGGGCACTGTTGAGCACTGTTAAAAACCAGCAAATCACTATCGATGTTAAAATGTCTTTATTATTATTTTTTCTAAGACAGGGTTTCTGTGTAGTCCTGGCTGTCCTGGACTCTCTCTGACAACCAGGCTGGCCTCGAACTCCTGAGTGCTGGGATTACAGACGTGTGCCATTGAGCCTGGCTAAAACACCCTTATTATAAGCATCCCAATGTTTAATTTCCCTGAAAATAATTTTAGAGTTATAAAATTATAAATAATTTTAGAACTTTAGAGCTAGGACAGCTTGATCTCTTAACTTACAGCTGTTAGATACCTGCCCTGTACCCTAGACGCTTCAGGAAAGGGCGATCAGCTAAGCAGCTGACTGACTGATCTCAGAGTAGCACTTGGGGAAGCCACACAGCAACTTGCTTGCTGTAAAATGCAGCTTTGCCTTCCTTGTGCCTCCTGGGGGCACAACTGTTTCATACAAGTTGGGCTTTCCTGTCCTCCTAAGTCTTGTGAAATCTAGATGATCCTGCAACCACCAATGCTCTCCAAGAGGAGAGCATTTCCCCTTGGGGTAGAGCAGAGGGACTTCTGTGATTGGTGCCAGGACAACGCCATGGCTGGCGTGAGCACAGTCCTCCACTTACAGGGATGTCTGTTGTACTGACACAAACACCACTCTTACGGCTACACAGGCAAGCTGTCTGCTTCTCTGTGGGAGCTGCCTGGGAGTTGTCTCCCTGTGCTACGCCCCGCTGTTGCAACAGGAGGCCCAATAGCTGGCTGCTCTCAAGTTGCCTTTTCTGACCTACTTCTGAGCTTTGCCATTAGTAGAGTGGGCTGGCCGAGGAGACAGCAGCAGTGGTGGCAGCTGAGGCAGTGGCCATGGGGACAGTGGCAAAACGGCAGCTGCAGAGACGGTGGCAGGAGTGACCGTGGCAATGCAGTTAGGTTAGAAAGAGCTGGCAACAGCCGGGCGTGGTGGCGAACCCCTTTGAGCCCAGCACTCAGGAAGGCAGAGGCAGAAGGATCGCTGTGAGTTCGAGGCCAGCCTGGTCTACAGAGCGAGTCTAGAACAGCCTGGGCTCCACAGAGAAAGCTTGTCACCAAACAAATAATAAATAAATAAAAATGTAACAAGAAACAAACAGCTGGCAACATGGCAGCAACTGAAGTAAAAAGGCTTGAGTGTGGCAAGCTGAGAAAGACAGAAAGCTTCGATGGTTGGGTAGGGCACACTCACAATCCCAGCACTTAGGAGTCTGAGGCAGTACTGTGACCACATAGCAAAATAGACCCAGACTAGCCTGAGCCCCAAGCTACATGGTGACACTCCCCATAACCCGGTCCCCCATCTCTCTCTCTCTCTCTCTCTCTCTCACACACACACACACACACACACACACACACACACACACACACACACACACACTCTAGAGAGCTATTAAAGATTAAAGGCTAAAGGTCTAAGCTATAATACTCAACATTGTTCAGGGCTGGGAAATCTCAACACCTTAAGCCTGAGAGCTGTTAAAAAGGTACCATTAATGTCTAGGAATCCAAGGCTTAATACTGTCACTGGGAGGCTAAAGGTCACAGTACCTAAGGTTCCTGCACAAAAGCAGTGAACAGAGACTATTACCTGCTGCTGCCAGCAGCCATCCACTGTGGCTCACTGCTGCAGTGGATCAGGAAAAGTGCCAAGAATGAGCTGTTGAGGGTGTTTCTCCTCATCTGCCCAGGATTCCTATCGGGGTGGAGTAAAGGGCACCCAACCAGCTGATTGTTAATAAAATTAACCTGGGCCTCTGCCTCCCCCTCAACTGCTTGTCTTTGATCTGAACGATCACTCACTGGTTTAGCGTTCAATGTCTGGGGACAGCAAAACTGGCCCTAATATCATTGGGGAGCTGGTGGGCACGGCGGGTAACAGAACAGCAGTTGACACCCTCCTCCACCAACACGGAAAGTAGCAGGTGCTGGTTGATGCTGCCTCAGTAGGCCTCACACACGTAGGCGTGACCATCTATTTGGAGTTTCTTATATATTTTTATGGAGGACGATTATTGAAAAATACAAAGGTAAAGAGAGGAGGGAAACAAGCGGGTAAAATCTTCCTGGGGGTTTATTACAGCTGAGGAATTTAATTTTTCAGGGACAATAAAGACCTTAATGTCGTTCAATTCTTTCCTAGTCCCCTCCCTCACATGCCTCAGCCTTGATCAGAAGCTGGTTTACAGGGTTTGACAGTGGTTCTCAGTGATAAGAGTGCTTGCCTAATGAGCTTGAGGCCCTATATTTGATATCTAGCACTGCGAAACAACAAGATATATTATGTTTTCTAACACCTTATCATGGTAACTTATATGATCCAGCCAGTGGAAAAATTACCTAGCTTAAAGCATAAGTTTTAGTACAAACTGAGTGATTAGGAGGCAAAATACACGGCTTCTCTCTTCTAGTCTGTACAAGAGCCCTCTGCTCCCTGGTTCAGGGTTGGAGTGACGCCCGATCGCTCTAAATTGGTGCTGGTGGTGTGTGTGTGTTAGGGTTCCGGCTTGAACCCGGAACCTCTTGCCTTTGAGGCCAAGTGCTGTACCCCAGCCAAGGGCTGTAACACTTTGGAGACATTACTTTTTATTATGGTAGTATTATTTTGGTGCTGTGGTTAATATCAGACCCAGGGCTTCATGCATACCATACACTCACACTCTACCACTGACTTACACCTCAGACCTTACTTAAAACAAAAACAAACAAACAAACAAACAAACAAACAAAAAAACAAGGTCTCACACTGTAGCTCAGGCTAGTCTCAAACTTACCGCAATTCTTCTGTTCAGTTCTCCAAATGCTGGGACTGAAGGCATGTGCCATCACATCTGGCCTTATTTTTATTTAAAAATGGGAATAAAGCCATTAAATCTTTTACAAACTTTCATGGAAAGATTTTATTCATTTTTACGACTTCAATAACTTTTGTTGGTGTTATTAACTATATTGGCTCCTTAACTTACTGGCTATTTTCACGTATCTGACACATTCTTTTCTTTCTGACTACATAAAACTACAAGAATTAAATTCTTTTCAGGTTACATTTAGCATGAATTGATATTTTCTATGATTACCATGATCGAGGGTAGTGTGTTTGAATATGAGGGTATGAGTTGCAGATGTTTGTTTGCCTAGCATGAGCAAGGCCCTAGGTTCAGCCTCCATACTGGTAGAGGAGGACGGGGGTAAGAGAGACACACCCAGGTAGGAAGGCAGAAGAGGTCACATTTACCGATGGGCAGCAGACAAGGGAGGCAAAGCAGCAATAAACCACACTCACTCACCACCGGTTCGCTGGGGAGGACAGGGAGGGAACACGCAGGCCAACATAAGACAACCCGGTTGCTCTGGGCTGCTGTGGGCGCAGAAGCCCCTCTGAATGGGATTCGGAAGAGAGGAGACAGGAGAATGGTTTATTTTGCTTAACACTTTTCTCTTTCTAGGCATTTTCTAAGTACATTGGAAGCTGACCCAAGCCTATGATTCATAGGACTCTGGGAAGTCATACTTTAAGCTTGCCTGGTTTCAATTTTAACCACCGTAAGCCACATCATTTCACATGATCTGTGTAATAACCGAAGGTAAGGCGTCTTTCCCGGATGAGGTGATTTCATCTGAGAAGTTAAATGATAGTTTCATTGGATTTCAGAGGTGAATACGATTTTAGCAAGAAGGTCCGGCAAGATGGCTCAGAGGGTAGAGGCACTTCCTGCGAAGCTGGACAACCTAAGTTAGATCCCCAGGAGCCACTCGAGGTGGGAGAAAAATCAACCGTGGAAAGCTACGCTCTGACCTACCTATGCTCACTCCCCTCAACAAAGACATACATCATTAAAAAAATAAAATACAGAACTGGGGCAGAGTAAAAGTGAATGGTTGAAGAGCCCTCAGACAACCTTTATAAGATGACAAAGTGCAGACAAAGTCTGTATTGCTTCTATTTAAGAATTCCTCAGGCTTTATCCTCGATTCTAAGTTGTAACAAAGGAGAGGCAGCAGACCACAACTACTTGCCTTTACAAAGTGAAAAGCTATGGAGCGGCTGCACAGCTCAGTAGTTAAGAGCACTTACTGCCTGCAGAGGACCAGGTTTTTCTCAGCACCCACGTCCTGAAGCTCACAACTGCCTGGAGCTCCAGCTCCAGGGGGAATGGATGTCTCCGGCCTCCTCAGGCACCTATACTCATATACACATACATAATTCAAGATAATAAAGTCTTTAAAAATTCAAAATTGGCGGGGTGTGGCGGCTCATGCCTTTAATTACAGCACTCAGGGAGGCAGAGGCAGGCGGATCGCTTGTGAGTTTGAGGCCAGCCTGGTCTGCAAAGCAAGTCCGAGAAAGCCAAGGCGACACAGAGAAACCCTGTCTCAAAACAGCCCCCTCCCTCCCAAAAATTTCAAAATTGTTCTTTAAAGAATATTTACTGAATTGCCTTTGAGGCGGGAGGATCATAAGTTTAAGGTCAATCTTGACTAAAGTGCTTCTCAGTTTTCCAGAAAGCTAGGAACACACTGTAAGTGTGTACCACAACACTCAGCTGGGAGGGGGGGCTGGAATTGTTTATGTTAAAAAAAAAGTCACATTGAGTTTGCTTCTTTATGGAGAGATTAACAAGTGCCGTTCATGTACTTGAGATACTGATAATGTCATGAATCTGAGGTTAGTCTGGGCTGGAAGGGAGAGATTCAGGCTAGTTGGGACTGCATACAGTTTGAGACTCTCAAACAAACAAACAAACAAACAAAATGACAACCCTCTCCACTTGTACCCCAAGCCAGAAAAGAATGCTTGACATATCTTAGGTCCTAATAAGTATTTGTTAAGTGAATGAGCCCAAGGAACATAAAAGATTTCGAATTAATTGCCCGTATTCTAGGGAACCAGGCAGACAAAATCATTGACAAAATAATTTAAAAAAATTTTTTTAAATTATGTATACAGTGTTCTGTCTGCATGTACACTTGCACACCAGACGAGGGCACTAGACCTCATTGTAGATGGTTATGAGCCAGCATGTGGTTGCTGGGAATTGAACTCAGGACCTCTGGAAGAGCAGCCAGTGCTCTTAACCTCTGAGCCATCTCTCCAGCCCTGATATAGTGATTTTAACAGGACTATATTTTTAATTAGGCTGACCATTTCCAGCCAAATAAGTGTCTCTGGACAGTTAATGTAATCTGAATTTCTTCTAACTGATACTGGGGAATATACAACTACGGGCTTTGCGCTAGGGGAAGTGGGGAAATCACCTCATCTCAAAAATGCTAACGGTTGGTGATAACGTACGCAAAGTTCTCCGCACGGAAGGCACTCAATAAAAAGTAGCAGTTATTATTAAACACTTCCTATTATTAGATACATATTAACCACTGATGACGTGTTCTTTCTACAATGCATTGGGCTGTGGTTGTAAAAACACTCCTTGCAACGCAGTTAGGGCCCCGTCGAGACTGAGAGATCAATGGTTTAATGGGGGCTCGAGGAGACTGAAGCAATTGGAATTCGCACCGGATTGAATCAGTGAATCTGACGAGGCAGGCCAAGGTTCACAACCAACCCCGACGGGAGGGGACGGACTCCGGCGGCTTTTCAAGTCCCTTTATTGGACCGTTCCCAGTCTCCTGTTCGGCCAGCATCACCAATTCTGGATCCCGAGGCTCCAGGCGCTCAAAGGCCGCCGGGGCACGCACCTGGCTCCGCCTCTCCTCCCGAACTCCCGCGCACTCACTCACCCGGGGCACAAGACTATGAGCGCATCCCACCCAGTCAGCCGGGGCTCCGACACCACAGACAAGAGCAAAGGCTGCTGGGAGGTTGACCTTTCACCTCGCCTCTTACTTCAGTTCACCTACTTTGACTCTAGCAAATGAAGAGACGCAGCCCGCGGGAGGGCGGCCCTTGGCGGCGGCCAGGCCGTGCCGATTGGGCGGAGGCGGTGCCGGGGGCGGGCCGTGAGAGGGCGCTGTCCCTCCCCGCGGGAGCCCTGGGGGCTGCGCGTGCGCGCTGGGCGGGCTACGCGTGCGCGGTGGGCGGAGCGCGCCTCTACCTCCCTTCCCAGGCTCTCCCAGCCCTGCACGCCGCCGTGTGCCGCTCGCGTCTCATTGCCCTGTCGCGCAGGGTCGCTGCCGCTGCGGCGTGGGCGTCCGGCTTTCGGGTCGTCATGGCTGGCTACGAATACGTGAGCCCGGAGCAGCTGGCGGGCTTTGACAAGTACAAGGTAGCGCGCACCGCCGGGCGGTCGCCCCTCTCCCCCTCGCTCCGGCCGCGCCCTGGCGGCTGAGGGGCCGGCGCGGTCCGTGTCACCTTGCGCCCGCCGCGTGGCGCGCCGCCGGCGTTGTTGTGGGGACCCCCGGGGGTCTCGCGGTCCGGGAGCGTGGGAGCATCCTAGGCCCGCCGCCGGGTCTCGGCACCCCGCAGGAAAGACTGCCTTTCCCTTAGAGCGCCCGGAGAGTGGGGTGAGGGAATTCCTTTCTCTCTTTTTCCTCGTTACTTGTCACTGCTGCTCGTCTTCAGCCTTTTCCCCGAGAGGGTGTCTTTTTCCTTCTGTGCCCTTCGATTGGCCCTTGTTTGAATGAACTTCCCATTTGCCTCTTGGTGCTTACAACTTAAGAGATCGGGCTGGTCCTTTGGCGGATGCTGAGGGAGGGGAAGTGACTGCCCCAGGCCTTGATGCGGATGCCCTCCACCCTGCTCCGGGAAAGAGGCTTTCACTGTGGTTCGCAAGCCGGCGCTGCCGGTCGAGACATTGTGCAGCAGAAGGAACTATGCAGTGCAAAGAGCGCGCGGGCTTTTCGAGTACTTAGAAACCCGATGCCAAAGTCTAGTTTCTCTGTTTGGCTTTGGGCGAGTTGTTGAAACCCCACCCAGCCTCTCTTTTAGGCTCTAAGCCCAAGTGTGAGTTTCTGTTGTGCTTCGTAGGTTGTGAGGGGTTGAAAAGAGTCTGGCAGGGAATGAGCCCTCAGGAAATGCTGGTTGTTTTCACCCAGATTTAGTACTCCCTGCCGGGAACTACGGGTCATCCAGTCATCTTAACCCGAAATAATGGGCTTTAGTCTCGTCTTTGCTCAACCTTTCCCGAGGGCAGGCTGTTGCTTTATGAGGTTAGCGTGCCTGTGGAATAGAATAGAATGTCCAAGTGATGAACATGCGGACCAGCATGGCCGAAGCATAGTGCCATACTGCGCTGTAGTAATCCGGCAAACATTTGTGCAGTGAAGGAATATTTGGGAAAAAATTTAAAAAAATTTAAAAACTAGAATTGAAAAAAAACCCCAGGGGCTTTTGAAGGCCCTAGGATATTTTTGCAGCAATGCTGGACCATGCCATTCTGAACTAAGGTGGCGACTTGTCTTAAAACTAACTGGAAAGGAGTTCTAGAGCTTTCTTAGTCACTTGGGTCAAGGCTGTGCAACTCACGTTTCAGAAGGCTGTTAACCCAGATACCTCCTGTGGTACCTTCAGCCCCACCCACCTTTAGTTATCTGTGCCGCGCTGTAAAGATTGGCAGCCAAAATATCTCCTCCTAACTAGAGTCAGAGTTTTAGAGCAAGCTGTACATCAAATAGATCAAATAACAGTTTTGTTTAGTGAGCCTTGTTTTTTCTTGCAGTCTTCTCAAGTTTGGTATCTCCAGCTGGAGAGCTGAAGTGGCTAGACAGCTACTTTATCAGACATTTCAGTGTGGTGTGCTGTGGCTATCCCTTCCTCCCTTAGCTGATTCAGTTCCTGTGTTTGACAGCAGGTTTCCGATCACCCTGGAAAACAAAGGTCACTTCAGCAAGTGCCCCAGTGCTCACCAGTTTGTTGATGTTATTCTAGTTACACTGAGGCTTTTAGAGGGGGAAGGGCATCCAAAATCAAATACAAACGTATGGCTTAACAGTCTAGTAGAAGAAGGCTCTTTTCTCCATACCATGCCACATTCATATTAAAAGAACGAATCAGAGACATCCAGAGGAAAAAAAAAAGTGTGGCCAGTTTTGTTGGCGTGTGAATTGCACACAGAGATCTTTTTCTTGTTGTCTTCTCATTGTGTGGTCTTCAGATAGTACATGCTTTATAACTTCATGAATTTAAACACCGCCCCCGAACATGCGTCAAACACTTCAAGAGGTTTTATTCTCTGGTGTGAACTTCTATAATACAGCAAAAATACAGGGGTGGGGGGGGAAAGGATACTCCTATAACAGCTGGTGGAAAAAATTACTTTTGAACCAGTTTAATTCTTTATCTTCCCTAGAGGTACATTTGAGAGCTTCATGTGGAAACCTGGCACTAGCACAGAGTAGCTGCTGAGGGGGGTGTACACAGAGTTTCTTTAGTAAGAAAGGCATGACCTTCAGTACAGAAGAAAGCCTGGAGTGCATTCAGTTTTCTATACTCCCTTAAAATACTGTCTCTTCTTGTGAAGTGTTTAACACAGACCTCTTTAGTCGTTAGTTTAACGATTGGTTGTATGCCTGCCTTCTGCTAGAAAATGAGCTCTAGGTGGGCAGAGCTGATAATTGTCATGTTCAACATGGTCGCCACAGCATCCTGAGCCAGAGAAATGTCCAGAAAACACTGAAGGAATGAACACGGAAAGGAATAGAAGGCATCTTAAGCATGGCAAAAGGAGCTGTATGTGTGGGAGTTGGAAGGCATCTTTTGAATTTTCACTTTGAATATGACATGCCAGTTTAGAAGTACAGTTCTGCTCTGTTGCTTAATGACAAGCTCAGATGGTTGTGCTGAAGTAGTCCACCATCATGAGATTTGTCATTCTTCTGTCCTCACTGTTTCTCCCTTTTCCTTTTCCTCTTGTTCATATTGGACAGATACTGTTGAAGGACTCCATACTCGGATGGGCTTAACTGTTGTGCTTTGCGTAGTCAGACCTATGCAAGGCACAGTTGTGATTTATACTGTTGCTGCCAGCGCCACATTGTATTCTTTTGCTTTAGAGGGGAAAAGAGCGAGATGCCTTGTTTAGTTTCAAGAGCAGAATTCAGGAATTCTGGTGGTTTCTTCCGTTGGGTAGTTAACTAATGTGACCTCTGACAATAGTCTGATTCAGGGGTTGTAGTTATTGTGAATTTATTGCTATTACAGTTAAATTTTAAAGAGAGACTGTATTTGCATCTTGATAGCGATGCCAGAAAACTAGAATCCAAACTGGCCTTAGGTCATACTGTGTAATTTTATTTATTCAGCAAGCATTTATGGAAGAGCTGCTTATCAGGCACAGCACTGGGGTTGCAAAATTAAGATGAAATTCCTGACTTCAAAGAGCCCAGTTTGGTGGCATAGGGACGTGTAAACAAACCCTTATAATTAGTGAGTACAGACTGTAAGTTCTAAGTGCTGTGGGAAGGGCCAGGAGGCAGCACACACTGATGGGGTGAGAGTGGATGTGACGGCTGAGGATAAAGGTAATGGAGGGGAAGGCAAGGCCAGTCTCCAGTCTAGAAAAATGGAAACCGAGTAGAGAGAGGGAGGGAGGGAAAAGGCACCCTGTTACGTGAGAGCCTTGAGATGCAGAGATGGGCCTGAGAGCTTTTCTGAGAACCACAAAATAAGGTGTTTGAATATAATGGTGGCGTGGCAGTTGAAACTGGAGAGGAAGGCAGGCCCCTACCAGAGTGGGAGTAATTTTGTCCTATGGGTTAGTGTCTGTGGCCCACATTTATTGGCATCAGAGTCAGAATTATTGGTGTGTGTGTGTGTCGGGGCATGATTGCCCACCACCAAGTGACTCTGATGCCAAAAAAAAAATGTAAAAGGAACTCTTATTCGAGTGGTTCAATTGTTGTCTCGGAGGGTCTCTGCTAACCTAAGCCTAGACCTGGAAGCTTCTAGCCTCTATGTGATCTCTTGCCAGAACAGCCATGTTCTGAATTAAAATTTATTTACAAACCAACCAACCCCTATCTAGGAAATGTTGAAGACCTGAATATTATGGCAGTGGGAACAGAAAAAAGGGATGAGAGAGAGAGAGAGAGAGAGAGAGAGAGAGTGTGTGTGTGTGTGTGTGTGTGTGTGTATATCTGTCTCGGTGTGCCTCAAGCTCATGATCTCTTGCCTCTGTATCCAGAGTGCTGAGATGACAGGCCTGGGAGCAGAAGTCCTCCTTCTTTTCCTCATTTTTTTTTTTTCTCATTGACAGTCTTATTTGTAGCCTGACTAACCTCCAACTTCTGATCTTCTTGCCTTGGCCTGAGCATGAGCCAGCATACCTAGCAAGGGAGAGGAGATTCTAAAAATAGAGGTCACAACTAGAAAGTTCATACTGAATTTATCTAGCAGGTATGTTTAATTTAGCCCTAACTTTGTTTTAAAAATTAATCTTTCCCATAAAAGTCCAGCATTCTGGGTGCTCTTGAAAAGTCAGAATATTGAGCAACATGTCCTTGAAGTTTCTCTTATAGTGCAGGCTCAGTCATGCTTCTTTTAAAAAAAATATATGGTTGGGTGTATTTGCACACACCTGTAATCCTAGCACCTGAGAAACAGAAGCAGGTCCATTTTCTGTGAGTTAGAGGTCAGCCTGATCTACATAGTGATTTCCAGGTGAACCAAGGATGCATAGTGAAACTGTCTTTAAAAAAAATAAATAGAATATATTGCTGGGTAAGGAGGCACATCCTTCTGTTATCCTGACATTTTCAAGGTGGCAAGAGTAAGATCAGAGGCAGCTTCAGATACTTAGCAAGTTTCAGGACATCCTGGACACAGAAACTTAGCTTCAAACAACAGGAACACAATGGAAAAACCTCTAAAAATCATAAATAAATAAATACAGTATGTGCTCTACAGTTTGCTATTTCCCTACTGGTGTTCATGTATCTCATATAGGTCTTTGTTCATTTGATCTTCTCCATCCCTCATTTAAGATTGTCAGAACATGGTGACTGAATAGCTGGGGGTGGTTTTAGGGGTAGGGTAGGGTCACATAAAAGGTAAGGAGAAGCCCAGGGATGATTCAGGATCTGGTAGGAGGACTAGGTGGAGGGAAGGAGGTAGCTGTCATGTGAGGCAGGGTTTTGTGAAGCACTATATTGTGACATTTTAAAGTTCTTTTTTAAAAAATGCCTTATTATTTTTCTGTGCAATGGGTCTCTTGGAGACCAGTCTGGTTTCAAAGTCATAGGTAGCTGAGGATGCCTTGGAATGCCTGGTCTTTCCACCTGTCCCTCCTAAAAGCTGTGGTGACAGGCGCACTAACTTTATAGTAATCAT